AAAGGGCCAGCAGCTTCATCCCAGGTCCATTTATTATGTGAGAGGTGTGATGGGACGCAGGGACGGAGGGACGTGGAGAAGGAGGAGGTATTTAGGTGATGGGGTGCTGAGGGGGCAGTACAGGAGAGGAAGGCAAGGATGAAGGGAGGAGGAGGGGGGGGGGTGTTGGCCATCTGTCCAGTGGTGGGGGCACCGTCTGGCCGGGGAGAGGAAGCGGCCCCGCGGCTGAGGAAACACACACACACACACACACAGATGCTGACGGAGCAGATGAACAGTTACTGTACTGGTTGGCATCAAGTTACACAACAACTGCAGAGTGACACGTGCACGCCCACACGTGGACTGACACACTCATTCATCCACCTGCTGTGATTTTCGAGATGTTTAGGGAGTCAGTCTGAGCAGTGATTGGGTGAGGGGGGGGGGCGGGGGTCACGCCCCGGACCGATCTCCATCCAATCACAGCGCCACAAACATTCACACTAAGATTCACACCAGATTCACACCAACGCTCAGTTTAGAGTGAACAGTATGATCAGCAACAGCTGGGGATCGAACCCGCTCCCCCTCGTCCTGTGAGGCTGGTACGCAAACCACCTGACCACCGTGTGGTCCCTGGGTAAAAGCGTGTCATGTAACTCAGGGCTCCTCAACCCCTGGTCCGGGGACCCTCTGCCGGTCCGCAATGTAACAATCAATGAATGAAGAAACTAGTTAAACACACGCACAAACTAACCAACCTGATTACTCTCATTAACCAACTAACTCATTAACCAACTAACTCATTAACCAACTAACTCAGTAACTCCATCAGAAAAGTGACTTAAAACTAGTAACGAATCACTCTCTTAAAGTAACGAAGCATCAGAGGAGATGAAAAATGAACCAAAACAAGATGAAGTCATTCCGTATATTTATCTGTGTGTGTGCGCGTGTGTGTGTGTGTGTATGCGTGCGTCCTCCAACCATCACATCTTGAAGCGATGAAGCCGAGACTTTCAGAACAAAGGCAGGTCTAAAATAGCACTTTCTCAGTGAGTCACTGCCAGGTGCAGACGCCTGCACCAGTTTGGCTAAATCTGACGACGACACTGCTGTTCTTAATTTGTTTGGCCTTTTATCTTCACCCATCATCAAAAACACCCGTCCTGTGGAAGCAGTTTTTGGACAGAGCTCGCCTGAAAATGGAGGGAGAAGAGTCTGAATCTGAAAAGGTCACACACATAAAAAAATTTTTAAAAAATTGATATACGCGCATATACTTCTGACGTACTCGAGAGCCTGACTACTTTTACGATCTTACTTTTTTAAGTTGTTTTTTTTCCTGACTATGAAGTGAAGTTCGGAACCAGGGATATCCGATAATAACGTCCGATCGATCTTATCAGCTGGATATTAGCGTAAATACGTAATATGGGTAAGAATCATTAACGTTTTTTTCTCCGATAATAAAATCGGATAACACAATACCTGGGTTTCGCTAAATTTGCTGGAATCACACGTAGGATCCACATATCGGTATCGGTTGATATCGGAAATTAAGTGTTGGAACAAATATCGGCATATCAGATATCGGCAAAAAGTTAGCTAGTAAGTTATCGGACATCCGTATTTAGAACATCGGGAACATCCATGTTGTTTTACCGTAGAAACCTCAGCCTTGACAAATACACTCCGTTCAGTCAGGAGTCATTGACTGTTGTCTGATTTCCTCTAAACTGGATCGGACAGGAAATTAAATCAAGAGAACAACTTAAATTAATTTCAAGAAAAGTTGGTCAACCCTAAAAAAAAATCCCGTTCACACTGAAACTTAAAATTTGAAACGATACATTTTATGTAATGAGAAACACGGTCTCCTGAAGGGACCACGTCCAGGTCCATGAACCAGATGTTGACCATCTGATAGTCTCCTATTTCTAATAAAAATCATTTTGTTTTATTGCCCCTCCCCCAACTGGAGCAGAAAGAAACAGCGGGGGCAACTTAATGAAAGCAGCCCTCTCCCATGGGTGTGTGTGTGTGTGTGTGTGTGAGGTATTGATTGAATAGTACTACAGTATTCCCAGGCAAAAAGCCTGTGTGCACCCTCCACTTGTACTTGTCTTTCACACACCCATCATCATGGGACATGGACACACACACATACACACATACAGGCCCTTCAGAGGACCATTATCTCAGAGTCACAGACTGTCCCCGTGCCAGGAATAACTGCACATTCTCTAACACAAAAATACACAAAGACAAAACACAAAGTACTGCAACGTTTTACTTCTACACCATCTACAGAGACGCACCAGTAATACAACGAGTACTTCACTTCAACTACACCAGACACTGTACTACACCAGACAGTGTACTACACTGTAGAACACCTAACATTGTTTTTTTCATCCATTAGGATTGGGGATTGAACCAATGACCTTTCCCCTGTAAGGACAGAGAACTAACCACTCTCCCACCGTGTGATATAAAACGTTAAAAATCACAGGTTTGTTTTTTTCCCAGTTTCCTCGTCAGCGGTGACTGTAACGAGGGACTGACTCACACCTGAGATCCAGCGTGAATGTGAGTAAATGAAGAATCTGGAGGAGGAAAAACCAGCAGAGGTCTGAGTAATGGAGGGAAAAAAAACAAGAACCAGACTTTACACTTTATACACTGAGGAAACAGGTATATATGGACACATATATGTGTATATGCATACACATATATGTATGTATTAACATACATACATACATATATGTGTAAATGTATATATGTATTTACTTACACATACATATGTATTTATATATACATATGTATGTATATGCATACATATATACATACACATATATACATATATGTATATACATACAAATATGTATGTATATACATATATACATACATATTTTTGTGTAAATGTATATTTATACATACACATTTTTGTGTAAATGTATATATGTATTTACATACATACATATATGTATACATATATATACACATATACATTTATACACACACATATATACATGTGTAAATCTATATATGTATAGATATACATTTATACACATTTATACAGACACATATATACATATATACACACATTTATATACACATATATATATATATAAGGCATGTATCAGTGTACACTGTCCAAAAGAAAGAACCAGGTCAGTACTACAAAGACAGTACTACAAAGACAGTACTACAAAGACAGATACTATGGTACCATCCTTCAGCGTGTGATACCTCAGAGTGGTAGTAATACTAGTAGTAAACGTGCAGGTCTATTTAAGGACAGCCTTCATGAGTGAGACAGGGTTCAATGTCAGGTGAGGGTGTGGAGGAGAGAGGTTTTTTTTTTTTTTTTTTTTTCTCCTACCGCGTGTCTCCAGAGGATGGCAGTATTCTTGGCTGTCCTGAGGACAACGGGCTTTTTATTAACAGATAAAACATATAAATATATAAATGGAGACGTCAGTAATAATGAGGTCACTTTGCATATCTGCAGGAAAGATCCGTGCAGGTGTGACACACTCTGTGTCTGTGTGTGTGTGTGTGTGTGTGTGTGTGTGCTCACCCTGGGTAATTAGATAAAGAGAAGTGAATTAGCAGAGTCCACAGAGCAGAATGATGTTACACAGCCTAACCACGCCTAACTGAGAGCCACTAATCACCACTCGTTAGGTTCGCCCGAGTGTGTGTGTGCACGCG